GGCTAGGCCAGGGATTCCCAGCAGAGTCAGCACAGGCCTGCCCTCAAGTCACTCCAGGTTGTGTGGGCTGCAGCCTTTGCAGACTTTTAGCTACTTCTGAGGGGCCAGGAAGTAGAGAGCACACTCTGGTCAGAGTGTGTTGAGTTCTGGTCCTGCCATGCCTCGCTGTGTGGCCTTGGGCAGATTGCTTCTCCTCTCTGAGCCTCCAGGCGTGCACTGTAGAACGGAGATAGCAGCCCCAACTCTGGAAGAGCAGATGAGGATTAAATGAGTGGACAACACAAGGGCCTGAGCGGCAGCTCCGTAACCCTTCCCTCCCTTTCCTGCTTGCTCTGCAGATTAAGTCAATCAGAGCCTAACACGTTCGGCCACACTGTTCTTTGCCAATGTGACTGTGACCAGGCTTCCTACGCTCTCTGGGCTTCACTTTCCCTATCTATAAAATGGGCACTGCTGCAAGGGTGATATGCTTAAAGGGTTTGGAATGCACCTGGAACTAATAAGTGTTAAGTATTAATGTGTCACGTTTATTTGCACAGGGAATGCAAATGATTGGGTCATAAACTGATCCTTTAACTCAGCTCCCACCCCAGGCTTCTGGCCCATGCCCATGGTATGTGTTCCATGTCTCTAAGCCCTGTCTCTCTGTTGTGAACATGTTGCATCTGGGGCACCCATGACCCCAGCCTCTGGCAGAGACGTCTTCCTTGGATTTCAGGAAAATGTCTGCCCTTGGCCTTTTTCCGATGGCCACATGTTCATCTGAACACTGCTGATGTGTCTCAGGCAGACTCAAAAAGGAGTCCCGTCCGGTCAGCCCCGCTGCCACACTTGAGATCAACTCCCTCTGGAACTGGCTCCAGGAGCCAGCACGCGCCTGCAAGCAGACAGGACAAGGAGCACACTGGCATGAGTCTTCTTTCCCTCTTTGCCTTGGCTGCCAGGTACAGTGCTGCCCAATTCTGTGCCGTCTAAACGTGATTTGCTCTTTGCAGGCAACATACAACGTGCAGGGACTCTGAAGCCGGAGATTCAGACCCCTGGCTCTCTGCTGTGCCACCTCAAGCCAGCAGCTCTATCACTTGGAGCCTGCTTCCTCCTCACTGTGCGAACTTGGCAGTTCCCTTCTGCCTCTGAGCTTCAGTTCCATCTCCTGCAAAAAGGGGATTGCGTTAGTGACCACGCGGGCAGACGGTGCCAAGGGTACAGCCAGGTGTCCCGTATGTGGTGGGCACTCTTGCTTTAGTAGGTGAAGATCGCCAGGTTTAGAAACTGGAGGGTTTTAACAGGGAGGGTCTGTAGAAAAGCAGTCTTCCTGTAGCAATGTAGCAATTTTAAAACCAAGCAATGTGGCTGGACTCTTGCCTGGACTGTGGGTTCTTACACCGAGGGTAGGAAGCTAGGGAAAAAAAAAACCCAGAGGAAGGGATTGGCTCACTGAGGTGTCCGCAGTGGGCACCCACCCCCGAGTTCAAGGTGCACCCCTTTTACGAGGTGCACCTGACACTACTGTTGCCTGAGGCAGGACCTGCTGGGGCATGCCTTCAGGGAGCCGTGCTTAGGGAGCTCAGCCAGGGCCCTCCCACTGCCCACTGCCAGGAGGCTCCACCAACACAGCACAATCAAGAGAGGCAGCCCCACCCAGGGCCCCTGCAACCCAAGGGCAGGGACTGGTGCCAAGGAGGGTGGTGTAGTCCACACAGTTCTGGATGTGCGGTCAAGTCCAAGAGCAGTTATGCAGGGAGGCTGCTGCCTAGGATCGCCCCCTTCTCCTGCCCCATCCCCCAGACCCTTTGGAACCCTCTAGTGTCTTTAGGGACTGGATCTGAGACCCCGCAGCCATTTCTCCCCAACCCCTGTGCCCTTGCCCTCCTGCCCTGGCACCTGGGCAGAATTGTCTTCTCTAACTTCGAGAGACACAGTCAAGAGCACGAGGCTTGGACACTGACACACCTGGTCTCAAATCCTGACTCCTCTTTGCAGCTGAAGAGCCTCAGTGGCAGGTGACTGGTTGACCTTCCTTGGAAAATGCAGGTGGTAGGGCCTATCTCCTTGGGTGTGGCACCACGCAAGTATCTGGGGATGGAGAAAGTCAGCTGGCACACCTGTGCTGGGAGCCTCTGGTGCAGCAGGTGCTCAGGGCTCACAATCCTGCCCTCTGCTTCCCTTCCCTATCAAACTGTCAGCTACAGTGCCTGGCCCTGGGCCCCCTAACATCTGCACACAGCCATTCCTCACTGAGCAAGTGGCTTTTTTGGGGGGAGTTTATGGGAGAGAGGAAGCCAGGGGAAGCAACTGGGGGCGGGGGCACATCCCAGGAGATCCACTTGGCACACACGCAATAAACATGGGGAGTGCTTTCTGCAGCTCTTCCAGGGCCAACGAGACTCACGGCCTTTGAACCATCACTCGCTCTGGTGATCTCAAGTGCGTGGTCGCGGCTCAGTGGCAGGCTGGACTGGGAGGCAGCCTTTCAGAGACACACAGGGCAGGGAGCCCCTCGCAGCAATCCCGCCACCCCACCCTGGGAATCACACGGTCTGTCTGCATTCCTCCTGTGACAGGGATCTCCCTCACTCCCAGGGCCACCTGCCCCACCTTGGGGGAGTAGCTTTGTCTCCTAGCTCAAGTGCAGCACCCAGCACCAGAGAGACTTCTAGAATGCTCTAATCAGCATGCACAGGAGCTGCACACCCCTCCTTTGTCCTAAACACTACATTGTCTTTGCTACATCTCTGTGATGTGTGTCACTCTCCCCGCACTTGCCAGCACGATCACTCCAGATTCCAGGGCTACCATCAATCCAAACTCCTTCTCTCCTCCGTCCCTTTCTTCTCCTCTCTCTCCCTCTTTCCTTCCCTGTCTTCTCTCAAATCCGAGCAATGCATCTCTGAGTCATTGCATCAAAGCTGTACTGAGTGCCTGTGTCTGCCAGCCCTGCGCTGGGCACTGGGGAGCCACAGAAGACTCCAGCCTGCAGGAGCTCCCCATGTGGCCCTGGAGAGCACAGAAAGGTGACACCTGCTTTCAGGCTGCCAGGGAGGGACAGGACAAAGTGCAGCAGGACCACAGAGGGTAAGCACTACCGTAGTTACCTGAATAGAAGGCAATGCAACTTAAGGGTCAAGGGCAATCCCTGTTCTCCTCACACAATGCAGTTGTTGCATGTTGGGGGGTTAGAGGTTTAATAGTTGGCTCTCCACCTGCAATATTTATCCCTTTAGCTGGATAAACCATTCAAGTCATTGTTACATCAAATACTAATTTGAAAAAGTTGTTTTTGCCTACTTTCAAATCTCAAGAAACTATTTGATTCAAAATCTTCTGTGTAGCTTTGACACTTGCGTCGGGGTGTAGGGGTGTGTGGGGGGTGTGTGTGTGTGGGGGGAGACAGCTTTCTGCCAGAACACATCTTACTCCCAGTGATCTAGATGCTAAAATGCAGCCCGTTCAAGCCCACAGGGCAGGCACTCCCGACGCTATCTGTTCCTCAGGTACCGTCTGCATCGCAGGAGGGGGCTTCATTTGTTGCCCGGGTGCACCTGCACAATATGGCCACTTACAAGGGTGCCCTGAAAAAGACCTCTAAAAGGCCTGGTGGCAACACCCTCCCACCTTTGCCATCACAGAGTTCCCAGGGCTCCGCACTGCTCTGCTTGAGTAAATCCCCTCGGCTCTTTTTATAACCGTGCCCACCCCATCTGCATCCCTAACACACGGGATCAGCGGTGCGTCTGGCGAGCGTGCCTTCCCCACTTAGAGCTTTGGGGTTCAACATTCAGGCGCTGAGAAACACTTGCAGTATCGGACATCAGTAGCTCAAATACAAGGCCACCTTCTGTTCGGCCACGTGGCAGATAAGTCAGGGCGTGGCAGAGAGCAGGCAAGGGCTGCCAGAAATGGAGGCTTTGAGCTGACCTTGAGAAGGACAGCCCTTGCAAGGAGTCACATCCCCTGGGCAGAAGACTCTGGGAGAGCCCCAGGCTCGCCTGCCCCTTGCCAGCTTAAGCTCCTCTCTCCTCTACTCTCTGAGCCTCAATGCCCCAATCTGTGAAGTGGACATAATGACAAATTTTCTAAGATCTTAAGGAGTGAGTCTTCTTCGCCTAAGCATTGCACCTTAGCGCCTCAATGTTTCGTTCTATAAAATGAAACCTGGACAGCGAGCATGGACTACAAGTCTTTACTCCAGCTGAGGCCCCGGCGCCTGGACAGATGCACTCAGCAAATCCCTTGGGGTGAGTGAATGAATGAATGAGCATGCCCTTCCCTCTCTCAGCTCGCCTCTTCCCACAGGCAAGCCCTTGTGGGGCATCAGCTGGAGCTTACCTGCCCCCCAGATTTCCCTGACCCCTAAACATCATCCTACCACTCAGATCTTGTATTTTCTTCCTGGCTTGAGTCGTTTGTCTTCGCCTCTAGCGCCGTCTCCATGACAGCGGGGACCCTATTTGTACCCGCAGGGTCCAGCCCAGCACCTGGCATGGAGCCTGTGCTCAGTAAGTGCTAAGGACTGAGTGAATGAATGACCAGGGGTTCCCTCGGCACAATCTCTGCAGTGCCGAGGTTTCGCAGGCACGAGGCTGGGAGTGGAAAGGTCGCCATCCCCACGCCGTGCACCCTGGCGGCTCCGTCTCCAAGCTCTCGCACCGTCTCAGGCCACCTCCCACCTGTGTGCGCGTTCCCGACCCCACCACCAGCATCCCCCGGGGGGCTGGGGCGTGGCCTGCCTGGGTACTGCGTCTGAGAGACTGCCGGGGGCACAGTAGGACTCCTTGGAGTCCAGGCCACGGCCGACCGGCCTGGCTCCACGCGGGCACCCAGCTGCCCAGCGCGCCTTCCCGGCCCGGGCGCGGGAGCGACGAGGGCGGGAGGTTCGGCCGAGCCTCTCCCGCCGCCCGGTGCAAACTTTCAAAAGATGCGGCGGCCGCGGCCCCGCCCCTGCACGGTTGGAGGCGGCTGGAGGCGGGGGCGGAGCCGGCGAGCCCGGGCCGATGGCTCCGCCTCCTCCTGCCGCCGCCGCCGCCGCAGCCGCCTCCTTGCCGGCGCCCACCCCAGCTACCGCCCGCCTGCTCGCCTGAGCAGCAGAGATGCCCGGGAGCCCGAGCCCAGCCCCGGCCCCGGCCCAGGCTCCGGCCCCCGGCCAGCCCCAGCGTTAACCTCGCGCGCCCCGGAGCGGGCCGCCGCCGCGGAAATTCGCGCCCGAAGCCGCGATGGGCAACACGGTGCACAGGACCCTGCCAGGTATGCGCCGGGAAGCCCTGCCCGGGAGGTGGGCGCCGGGCTTGTCCTCTCCTCCGGGAGAGCCACCCCCACGCCCCTCGGAGCCCTCGACGCTCCCGGGGCGGGAGCCTAAGGTGCCGCCCGGACCCGGCTCCGCGCGCGCCCCGTGGCTTGGCTTTGCGCTCTGACAGGGCGGCACCGCGTCCTGGTTACCTTGGGGACCCCCGTTCTCTTCTCCCGACTTGGGCCATGCCAGCACAAGGGCGGGTGGGGGTTGATGCCGCCCCCCCCCCAACCCCCGCCTTTGTTCCAGCCCGACGGAGCTGAGGAGCGAGTCTAAGGCACCCCGGGCGGGCGGTGACTGGAGCCGGGCTTCCGACGGCCAGAAGCCGCTGGTTGCTCCAAGACGGCAGAGGCCGGGGGTTGCGGGGCAGGGGTGCTCGCAGGGGTCCCCGGGTTTCCAGCCGGCCAGCGCCCCAGTAGCCCATGTAGCCTGGGCTTAGCCGCGTTCCTACGCGCACCCCGGCTGCGCCCCCCTCTGGTGTCCGCTCAACTGGGGGGGGGGGAGGGGGCGGGTTCCTTTAGCCCCCTGGGAGTCGCTGTAGCAGAGCGCATCGCCCCCTAGTTAAAACCAACCCAGAATTCCCGGGCATGAAGTGAGAGGATCCAGAGATGGGGTGGGAGTGGGGAGGCAGAGGAGGCTTTACTGGGAAGCACCTGCGATTCGGGGAAGAGACCCGGTCCCCGCCGGGCTCTGTGCAGTCCGAAAAATGGCTTGGCTGTCCCAGTGTCTATCCCAGTTTTACAAAGGAAGAGATTGAAGGGCAGAAGGATGGAAGTGAGTTGTGCAAGGTCACACAGGTGGTAGAGAGTCACGATTGGTACCTGTGTCTGTGTACCCCTGTCCCCCAGTCCCATACCTTGAGTCTTCAGAAGTATTTTGGACAGAGCCCACGTCTTGATCATCTTGTATTTTGGATTAGGGTTGGGCATGCATAGCATCCTTGGGGGTGGGGAGGAGGGGAAAGGGGAAGATGAGCTCTGTGTGTGTGTGTGTGTGTGTGAAGTACAGAGGCTCTGCTCGGTGGGGAAGCTATTCAGCGGTGCAGCAAATTTAGGATGAGGTTTTAGGAGAGGGACACATGGCCCCATTTCTGCTCTAACCTCCCACAGAGCCTGTGCTTGTAGGCTTTACATGCAATTATTAAAAATAAATAAATAAATAAATGCTTCCTCCCCCTGGAGGGGACTGTGGTGGGTGGTGCTTGGGGGAGCCCTCGAGGTTCCCAAGGCCGGCATGTGGAAAAGGCGCAGACTTTCTGCTTTGGAAGCTTCTGGGCAAGTTTAGGGTGAGTGCACTTGAACCTTCCAAGTTCTCAGGGAGGCGAAGTCACCAGCCAGCCAGTGGCTGAGGGAGGACTGGCTCCCAGATCTGCTGGCTGGAGGGTGGCCTCTGCCACCCACAGCCAGCCAGGAGGTGTCCGGGGATGGCGGCCACGTGGGCAGCGGATCTTCTCCTAGGCCACACAGACACCGGGCTCAGGCACTACAGCACAGGGCCCTTGTTTGGTTTCTTCATTAAGAAATGTTTATGCTGTTCTAGTTTAAAAAAAAAAAAAGCCATTCTCCCACCTGTGGGTCAGCCTTGGGATGAGTGACAGGGCAGCCAGCCAGTCGCCAGGTGGGCTAAATACAGCCAGAGACTTGTGTGGTCCTCATGCCCCTGGGCGCCGGCTCTGTGGCCTGGGCTGCCCTGGGGTGGGATTATAAAGTGGGATTATGAGGTGGGTTGTCCTGTGCTGCAGCATCAGAGGGTGGGACGTTCATACTTGTTGTCTGTGCCTTGTAGCTTGCACTGGATTTGAGGAAGGGGTCAGCTAGGGACTCCTGAGCTGTATCAGCTTGCAGGTGCCAAGAACATGAGGGGCCCTATATATTTTTTTTTCTGATCTGTGACCAGTTTCTTGCACACACAGTACCATTTTTTATATCCCAGTGCTCAGCAGGTGATGCCTCCCATACCTGGAATAGCCTTTCTTGTCTAGTCCATCTTTCAAAATCTAGCTCAGTTGTCTGCTCTTCCAGGAAGCCTTCCCTGACCACCCCACAGTCCCATCCTTTGCTGCATTACCTGGATACCTTCTCAAGTCTGCTTGTTCATCTGACCACAGTGCATTGTCGTCATCACCTGTCTCCACGACTTTCCTTGGGGTTCCCTGAGGACAGAGCCCACGTCTTGATCATCTTGTATCCATGGTTGCCCAGCTCGGAGCCTGGTGCTTGGCAGAGGCTCAGAGGCTGGTGGTGGAGCACAAATGTTGCCTGCATCTCAGAATACTTGGCTCAGTCTTTGCCCTGTAGAATCCTGGTGCTTTCGCTCTCAGGAAAAGGACACATGCGTGGGGTTCGTTCTGTGGGCCTTGAAATAGAGAGCTGGCATTTGCTGAGCACCTGGACTCCGTGCCAGGCTTCCTGCATGTGTGGCTTCGTTTCCACGCCCAGCCCGCTTCTCCTGCAGGCTCCTGCGCTTGCTGAGCCCTCTCTCTGGAACATTCTTCCCCTGGAGCTCCGCAGGGCTCCCCTCTTGTTTCCCCTGGGTGTCTGCTGCAGGTGGGCCCTGCCTTTGCCCCTGCCCCCCCTTTGTCTTGCTTCACAGTTCTCCCCAGCCTGTGTCACCCCGTGTGACTCACTGTCTGTATAGTCAGCCATTTATCGCCTGCACCGGCCCCCCCGCCCAGGTAGAGTTCGGTCTGTTTTGTTCACGCTGTCTGTTCAGCGCCTGGAGCAGGGCTAGTGTGGGGTATGTGGGTGCCTCAAGAAGTTCACAGAGCAGGGAAGTAAAAGATGGGTCTATTCTGCCACAGAATGTTTTGAAATCCGTGCCTTCAAGGGGTCCCCAAAAAATTCATGGGAAATGCATACCATGCAAAACCAGTGCCTGGATTTCAAATTTTTTTGGTACCAAAATCAACTTATCTTTTGATTCCATTTCCCCATGAACTTTGAAGGCACCTGCACTTGTCGAATGAATGAGTTGAATTCTCCCAAAAGTCCTGCAGGGTAGGGATGCTCATCCCATTTTACAGATGGCAAACAAAGGCTGATCAGAGAGGTCAGCTGGCTTGTCCCAGCCCACACAGTTGGCAGCACCAGCATTGAAATTCAGGCTTAGTTAGCTCCAAAGTCCTGCCTTCTTCCTCTGACATGCCGTAGCCTCCCACGTCAAGGTTAGATAACACTTACTGGGTGTCCCGTGGTACACATGGCCTGCCTCACTGTGCAATAAGGAAATGTCAGAGAAAGGGGAGGTCCTTGGCCATCAGTGCAGGGCAGCCCGCTCAGAGCCCATCCGTGTTTTCAGAGGATTCATGCCTGCGTCAGCACGGGAACTTGCATTATTCAGCTCCTGCAGTGTGTCTTACCCGATGCGACTCAGTCCTGCAAAGTCAGAAGCCATTCTTCTCCATTGCACAGATGAGAAGACTGAGGCACAGCGAGGTTAACACACTTGCCCCGACTCACACAGTTAGGCAGTGGCAAAGCTGGGCCTTAAAAGACCGAGGTCTGTCTGACTTCTAGCGCCACATGCTCCTTTCTCGGCACTCCACTGGCCTTAATCAAGGTTCAGTCAGGGAGAAAGAAGTGTAAACTGGTGAGGGTTGTGGAGAGGCCAGTGTTCCAGGACAGGGGTGGGCGGGAGGAGGGACTCGTCCCCTTCTCCCGCAGCACATTCCAGTCCTTTCTCTGCGCGCCTTTGGGGCTCACCTGGAGTTCTGGTTGGAGAAGAGGCTGGATTCAAACTGCCCACTGGGTTTAATCATTAAGTTGGTCCATGCTTGGCCGAGCCCACAGCCCTGTTGAGTGTTAACGCAACCATCGCAACCATCGATTGTCCCAGTATTTGGCGCGAGGAAAATGTGTAGACCCTGCTCTGGGCCAAGCCCTGGGCTGTCTGTTTTACAGCCTTGTAACTGCCCTTTCAAGGGGACTATGTTTGTGCCCGTTTTACAGGGCAGCAAATGGAGGCTCCGAGCGGTAAAGGACAAAAGCACACAGGATGTTAGGGGGAGAACGAGTCTTCCTGGACAGGCAGTTGACAAACACTGCGCCGGGCACAGGGACGGCACACGCCACACTCACAGACACCCTGCCCGTGCAGGCCTTTTTCCATTCAGCCAAGGGAAGGAGCCTTCATGGGTCAGACCCGCTGCTCCCAGTCCCCAGCTGGGCCGTGGGGAGTGAGGGCAGTGGCAGTCCCTTTCCTCTTTGTACGTCTCTTCCTCCTTCTCCCCACCAAATCATGACGTAAAGTTAACTTGGGCTGTCTCTGCCCGCTCTGGTCCCTCTGCCTTCCTCCCACCTGGTCATTAAGAATCATTCCGAGAGCAGAGCTGAGCCATTCAGAGCGACAGCCCTTAAGCCCGTGTGGCTGTCAACACAGGCCACGGCTCCCAGGTGAGGGCTGCGAGGCTACAGGACTGCTGAGGACTGGTGCCATGCAACAGTGGAAGTAGGAAGAGGGGATGGGGGTCTGTCTGCTGTGTGGCCCCAGCGGCGAGCCTGCAGCCTGGAGGAGCTAGGGCCTTCCTCTGTTTTTACCCTCTTCCTGTTCCCTTCTCCCCCACCCCCACCCCCATCACCCCAGCTCTGGGAGTCAGGGAAGACTTCCTGGAGTAGGTGACATTAGAAGGAAAGCCCAACTGAGTGCCTGCCTCCCCAAACCAAATGTCATCTCACTCTGCCTGCCTTTAGGGTCTTTTGTGACTCAGTCATCGCAAGGCTATCAATACCTATCTGGCACCTGTCGTGTGCCAGGCCCTGGGGGTGCGGCTGTGGGTACAAGGGACAGTGCCTATGGCTCTGCTGGAGCTGGCCCTGGTGGAAGGGAGCCACGTGCTCTCATAGGCTGGGGCAAGTTGACAGGTACTGCTTCCCCGTACCTAGGAGAGGGAGCAGCCCAATGCCCCAAGCAAGGCTTGCTATCCCCGCCGCGGGCTGCCTGCCGTGGGTCACGACTGGCT